GCGAGTACATTTAAGCAGTTTCCATTTGTTTGCTCTGTAATCGTTTCCTTATCGCTATTTATTTAGATCCCTTTAAAATTCTGACAAACCTGATTCTCAGGCACCAGCACCCATTTCCTTCCAGCTTTCCCCCTCTGCTGCCTGCAGGCAAGGCGGAGCAGGCAGGCTTATCCCAGGTCCCCTGCTTGGGGAGGGATGTGTGGAGCATCAAGCCCCTGCTTACCCCTTCCTTTCTGAGATGGACAAACCGGGATGCTCCAAAGCTGTGTCTGGGGGAGCTCATCCTCCTCTCCCCATCCCACCACGGGCCATGGCAGCACACACAGATGCTCTGGGGCTGCTGTGAAGTGCTGCCAAGCTCAGGGGAGCAGTGATGCCAGCGAGAGGGTTGGGGAGGAAAATGATGTTCCACACGTTTCCCACCATGGAAAGGCACCGGAGGCTTTGCTGGGGACCAGAGGGAGCAGGAACGAACCTGGTGCTGGCCAAGCCCTCTCCCCCCAGCTCTGCTTGCTGTGAAGCCATGTCCACAACTGCTCAACACACCTCTGTGCAGGGTCCAGCCAAGCGCTGTTCGAGTACCAACAGCACCAGTGAGACCAGCACCCAGCGCCAATGGGGGCAAGAGCAGGATGGGTTTAAGTGTCCCATGAGCATGGACAAGGGACATCCTATGGGTCTTTGGGGACAGAGAACCATCGCTGCTGATGGACTCGTGTGGCTCCACAGGCCTCTCCTGCTGTCACCTACTCTGGAGGCTTGGCTGGGGGCGAGGGGTCCGTGCCCCAGTGCCTGCCCCACAGCACCCCGGGGGTTTGGGTTCCAGAGGTTGACGTCAGGGCCCAGCCTGCAGCTGTCAGAGCTGATTGAGGAAACCCGGCCACGGCAAACAAGGAGGAGGGAAGGCAGGGGCAGATTAGATAACCGGGGACGCCGGGCTCTCGCTGCGGTTCCCTCTGCTTGGCAAACCCTGCCCGGCTCAGGCTGCTCCCTGCCAGCAGCGTGAGGACCCCAAGGAACACTGAATCCCCCCTCCCACTGTCCTACATGGAGGTAGGCACGGGTGACCACAGGGTTGCTTTACCCTGGTGGAGAGGCAGGGCAGGGTCCTGGCCAGCAGAGCTCCGGTACCCACTGCACCCCAACAGGCACAGGGGCCCAACTAAGGGGAAGCTCTCACCCTTTCTCAGCTGGATCCAAGCAAGGTTTGGCTGCAGCCTGCATTGCCCCCAGCAGCACAGCACCCTCCCAACTGGAGCACAGCGTGGACCTGCTGCTGTTCAGACACCTTCCTCATCCCCACTGACGGGACAGCTCTGCCTTCAGGCATCTCAGCTCCGGGGGGGGGGGTCCAATGGAGGAGCAGCCTCAGCTCCCTCTGCTGGCTCCTGCTTCAGGAAAACCTGGTTATAAAGAACATTCCCAAGCAGCTTCTCGCACCTCTCGGCCTTGTGGGACACGGTGACACCCGCCCAGCCACAGCTGGGAGGATGCTGCAACCCAACACACAGCCTGTGCAGGACACACAGCGCATCCATGCATCCATGCATCCATCCGTCCATCCTCCTCAGGGCAATCAGCCCTGGTGAAGAAGCTCAGCCGGGGCAGCAGGGATGAGCCACAGCCCTGTGGAGCAAAGACAAGGCACCCACCAGCACTTCCTGGCATTAGATGGGTCCTGCGGGGCAGTCCCAGGGGGTGGCTGGGGGGACCTGGGACCTCCAGCCTCAGCTTCTCCCACTTATAAATCACAGCAAGCACTGACCTCGGTGGGAACATACCTGGGAGCGAAGCAACGTGACCTCCTGGCCAGGCACCTTCACCTGCAAGAGATCAGTGGCTCTGGAGCTTTGCAGTGCCTTAGGAGGAGCAGCAGCATCGCCCAGCTCAGTCCTGCTCTCTCAGGACACACCTGAAGCAGCACCTGGAGCCAGCCAAGCGAAGCAGCGCAGGGCTGAGCCCTGCGGCAAGTGGGAAAGCTCCTGCGAGGAGGTTTATCCTTGGTCGTGGAGATCCTTAATGAATTCCCATAAGCAGCCAATGCAGCACCAGGCAGCCCCAGAGATGAAGAGCTGGCACCTGACTGCTGCAAGAAAACACATCACTTGGTGAAGGTCAGTACGTACAATCCCAGGCTTGTTCAAACATCCTTAGCTTGAATGGGAATACACCTCAGCTGGGAGAACAGCTCGGGCAGCCCATGGGAGCCACTGGGAAGCTGGTTCTACAACTGGTTTTATGCAGGTGGTGCTCAAACACAGAGCCCTGACTGGCAGGAGCCCGGGGGATGCTGCCTCCGGGAAGCTTGTGAACTGTAATGAGCCAAGCAATGAGCTCTTCCTCTAGAGGACACCCTGCTCAGGTCAACCCCAGCACCCAGGTCGCAGCATCCCCTTGTCCCAACACCAGCACCATGGCAGAAGATGGAGCCACGACTCTCCAGTGTCACCAACACAACCAAGCAGCCTCACAGGACACTGCACTGGTTACTTGGTTTGTGAATAGGTGTAAAACATCCCCCCATTACGCCCTTTAAGTTGTTGGGAAGGTACCACTTCTGCCCACAGCATTCAATGGGACAAACAAGGCTGGTCCTTACCTGCGTGTGCCATCTGCTTCCTGGCTCCGTCTCTGCTGCATGCATTTACTACTCGGCTGTTTTATGATGGTGTAGGAAGCGTTTGAGATTAGGTTTCCTTAAGCAATTCCTGTTTAACCGGGTATTTTCCAACACACAGGTACAGCAGGTGAGCAGCAGAAGAGGCCAGAGCAAGCCTACACCACAAGTTATTCCCGAGCCTGTGCAGGCACATGCAGATCCTGTACCGCTTCCCCATGGTCTCCCTCACATCATCCCCTTCACCACCATGGCCTTTCCCTCTTGACCTGTTAATACTTCACTGTGCATCCCCAAAGTACTTGCAGAGAAGCAAGAGCAAAGGGAAGAGGTGAAGCAAGCACAGACCCCTCCTCAGCACCTCCTGTGCACCGCAGGATTTAGTGCATGTGGCTGGTGTGGAGGGGATAAAGAACTCACAGCCCCTGCCCTTCCCTTCTCTGCTGCAGTCAGAGCTGCTGCCCTCGAGCCTGCAGGTACCAGGATGCTGTGGAGGCTCTGGAGCACCCTGCACCCCGAGGCACTGCAGAGCAGCACTAGAGCAGGGGACACTGCTGTTCGGTCCTGGGCACTACCCAGCGTGCTGAGCATGCCCCCCTCAGTGTAGTTCATCACACACAGTAGAAAAGCACCCTCCTGCCTCCCGCAGCATCGCTTCAGGAGCCAAGCAAAACCTGCTTAAAACCTGTGTTATAATGTCCAACAGGCAACAACCTGGACCCCCTAAAACAATCAACAGGCAGAAAAAAGCAAAGCCAAGCAGCTCACAGGTGACTGCAGGAGCCCTTGGGCTGCCCTGCCACCCTGCACCACCGCCAGCCTCCATGCAGGGACCACAGGGCCAGGATGACCTCCGTTACAGCCATCCCTGAGGGTACCTGGCTGCTCAGGGGACAGTGCAAGAAGGCGCGATGCTGTTGCCCTGTACCGTCCTGTATTGCCCTGCGCTGGCATCGCCAGGTTGCAACCCTAAAGACAAACATATTCTATCAGCAAATAACTAGGAAATGACAAGATGGGCAGAGAGGCAACCCCAACCCACCCAGATTGGTTGCAAGGGCACCCATGAGCACCGAGAGCTCAAGGGTTGCGTTCTCTTCAAGGCACAAAACAAATACCCGTAGGCACAGGTAGCAGGATGTCTGCTCCCATTAAGGCTTTCAGTGAAGCTGAAACAGCAGCTGAAAGCTCCAGGCATTTATTTAAATGGTAAAAAGCAAACCCCGTGTGCACACATTGAGGCTCCTTGCGAGGATTAGTAACAAAATCACATGTAAGCAAAGAGAAAGGCTTCAGCTAAGCTGCTCCACAATATAGTTTATATAGGCAAATGCTTGGGCTGGGTGCCTCCAGTGGTCAGGTGTCACTTGGGAAAGAAGAGCAGCCTGCAATGACCAGGGAAGGGCAAACCGAAGCAGAGGCTTTCACACATCCCCATCCTGGTATACAGGAACGCTGCTCCCTCAGAGACAGTAAGAAAAGCAAAAAACCCAAATCCCCACCATTCAGGGTTCCTTTCCTGCCTCACCAAGACACCCGCAGAACAGGAGGTCTGATCCATTGCCATTTATGTGCAGACTCATCACACAGCCCACCAGGGCTCCCAGTAAAGCGCTGGGATGTGAACACACCACACAAGGGGCACCGAAGGATGCAGCCGTGCCTACAGCCTCACTTTGTGATGGTGATCCCCATGCGATCACTGAAGCCAGATTCCTCCTCACATCCACCCCTGCACCCCTCAGGGCTGCCTCAGGCCCTCCCCAGCACGGTGCTGAGCCGCTGCTCACCTTCACCACCCGGCTGCGGCTCTGGCACATCCCCTCGCACGCACTCACCAAGGGAGAGCTCACGGGGGCAGGAGGCAACGGCTCTGCTCTGAAGGGACTTGTCCTGACAGCGAGGGACCTGCACTGCCGACAGCAGCGAGCAGGTAACTGCGCACCGCAGTGGTCTGTACCGGCCCCGAGACCCTGGTGCGGCTCCGGTGGGAATCCTCCTTCCGAAACAGGCGCTGTGCTGAGCCCGCTCCCTTCCTCACAGGCTCTGCTCCCCATCACCCCTCACAAATAACCCAGATGGGTTTCCTGGCCATCCTTGTCTGGAGCGGAAAGGTTGGTTGGTAAATTCAGTACACACCAAATGTGGTTTGCTTCTTAAAGTGATTTGGGGTAAGGACAAGGCTAGAACTGGGTTTAATGACACTGTGCCTGGAAGCACCCTGGAGACAGGAAGAAGCTGTGTACATTTACACCATGAGACTCGGCTGCTTTTGCAGCTTCAATAAAACTCTCAACAGCTACAGAACATTTTTTTTTCTGTGTTAATTTAATCATACAAATATTCATTTATACATCAAGGAAAAAGCTTCCTTTATTCCCCCCCCCCCTCAATGTGCTATCATAGGACTTCTCCCAGACTCAATGAGGCAACACACCATCCTGTTCTACACATGCACTCTGCCCAGAGAGAACAGACAGGCTGCAGAACCCCCACGCACTCACACACCAAAAGAAATCAAGACACACAACAGAAACGGAGACACGGGACAGCGTGCACCTCCCTGACCACCCAGCATCGCCCTCTAAACCCCAGAGAGCTCCAACCCAACACTCCTGAGATGCGGGCAGCACATTCCAGCTCCCTCCATCCCCTCCTCACACAGCATCACCAGTTACGGGCTGGTCCTCTAAGGATACTGTGCTCCAGTTTGCCTAGGCTGAGACACTGTGCCTGGGGTGCCATTGTAAGGTTGCTCCAGCAATATGGTTCCACAGCCTAAGCAGCTCCTTGCTTGACACCAGGAGCCATTTGAGGGACTATCAGAGATGTTCTGTGTTACCTTTTCCCTTTGGAAGGGCTGGGGCAGTTCAGGAACATCCCTCCCTCTTTTCTAGGGCTTCAAGACAGATGGGTGTTAATGAGACGAGCCAGCTGCAGCCTCTGTCACTGCATCCTCCTGTAGCAGTGGGTACCAGCCTCACTGGGGCAACAGCCTCTTCACCAGTTCACCACTCTCAACCCGGTAAGGATTCCCTGCCATTTCTAACACGCCCGAGCTCTACGTGTGTAACTCACATGGATCAGGGTTATCCAAGCCCACGCTTCAGGCTCACCAAAACGTTTCTCATTCAGCCCTTTTGGAAAACCAGGCCATTTAGTTCCTGGATTTGATGTTAAGACTCCACCAGTTTGAATGCATCAGCGTACAGAAACCAACACAATCCCCGTGCTCTGAAGTCACCCGGGAAGAGCTTTGCTGAATACACCTCAAACCCCACCTATTTAAAAGCTGGAAACCTGACAGCTCGAGCAATTTCAGTGCTGCCTGCACCACTCCAAAGGACCACAAGAGATAAAACCACCTTTGCCCTCAGTTTTTACTCAAGTTAAAACCCAAGGGGTAGAGCAACCACTAATTGAAGCGTTCTTCCACTGTCACAGCCACAACCTAAACCCTCAAAGCAGCCAGAGCTCAGTGTGACTGCTTGCAGAGATCATCCCTGCACACAAGAGTGGTCACACTCGGTTACCTGGGGAGGAGCAGTGATGTGAGCAGCAAAAGGTTGCAGATTTCAGCAGCAACTCGGATCTGGCCCTGCCTTTCTTTACACCTTCCAGTAAGTGACCCTGGTCATAGGGACATCACGGACTGGAAACACTCAAGAGAAGAGAACTGAAGTCTGTGCAGAATGAGTATGCCTTCTGAGTGGGAAAGCACACACTACTTGTGGTACATGCAAGGGTTTCTTCAGGAAGAGGAAAATGCACCCTAAGGAGGAGCACAGGAACATGAATGTGGCAGCCATGACCTAGGGGAGAAGCATACATGACTGGGAGCACAAAGCCAGCATGGGAGCATCAAGAGTTCAAGGGTCTCCCAAATGCCTCAGCTGACACAAGGCAAAGGTTGCAGCACCAGGTACAACAGAACTTAATCCTCACACCACCCCCCTGGCTTCCACTACACACCTGATAAAAGGAGCTAGTAAAGATAAGGAATTGCCTTGTCACTTGGACAAACAGTCCCCAGGGGTTTAGACACCTCCAGAAGGGAAGTGGCAGCACTGCAGGAGGTGTGATGGTCAGGTCACTGTTGATGCCTTCAGAGCTTGCTGCACAAGCCAGCTGCTTGGAAAGGAAGGGATCACAGAAAGAATCCATTTACCCATTCGATGCTATAGTGATGGAAATAATTCCCTAAACTGAATGCTAAGAGATAACCCAAGGCAAAATGATGTTAGAGGACACGAACCAAACACTACAGCTGCACTGAGCAGTGCAGCACCACCTCCCACAGGTTCACAACCACCCAGCTCTAGCAAGGGGCCAAGACAGAGCCAGGGGCTCTCCACACTGCAAGTGCCAATGGCCAGCAGTCCAAATCCTGCAGTGCCTCTCTCAGGCAGGTGATTTCTCACACCGTGCTCGTTTCTCCCTTCAAGCACATTACTGATGGGAGATTTTGGGTAACAAGTGACCTTTAACAACTGAACCTCTGAAATACAAACCAGATATCACCCAATTCTTCCTCTGCTGGATACAAGGAAGGTTCCTCTGGAATGTCCTCCACAACACTCATTTGTAGACACAAAAGTAAGAGAGTCCTTGCTAGCTGCAATGAAAATGAATGCCCCATTCAAAGACAACTAAGGAAACACAACTGGTCAAGGGCAATCAGCATAAAGACACGCACCATGCAGCAAGCCCATGTTCTACTCCAACAAGAACAAGGGTCTTCACTGGAAAGATCTGGAAGAAGGTAGTGGGAGCTTTGCATATTACTGTTACCTTTGGCAGGCGGCTGTTGCAGCCGTGTTCATGTTTCTGATTAAGACCTCATTCCCAATCCACAACTGGAAGAGATGACATCGGAGGAACAGCAGGACAACCTGAACCATCAGAGGAGCCATTCCTTCTCTAAAACCAAGCCCTGGAGATCCCATTTTGAAGGTAAGAACCTCAATGATGCTGTAAGCCAGGATGCTAAAGGCAAATGAATACAAGGCGACAGAGTGGAATCCAGCTGATGATACATTCAAAGCCACAAACTGTTCGCCTTTAAGCTAATATTTTATCACAGGAGAAATGAATGCAAACTTATACTCTATAAAAAGAGAGATGGGCCATTCAAAATTAAAAGGACATGACTTTTGTAAAGCTTTGCAACTACCACCAAGTGAATTACACCTACAGAGAGAGACTTCCCTCTTGGCATAAGACTTGATACGCTTGCTTGATTGCTCTAGGCCCAGCTACTGCACATCAAGAGCTAACAAAAAGGTATTTTAAAATGCTAACCACATAGGACAGCCCCGGCTCTTTAATAAATCTGTTTCTTATTAATATTGGTGGTATGTGTATTTCATGTACAAGGGAAGGGAAATGAGCTCTCCATGTTATGCTGGAAGTCCCAGAGTCTCTAACTTTGACCCCAAGAGCTGCGGTTTCCAACGACACGCAGCACAACTTAACTAACAGCAACAACCAAACCAAAAGGAAATACAAGGAATTAAAAAGAGAGCAAAAAACAACCAAAAAAAAAAGCTTGGTAACTAAACCCAGCAGATGATATTAAAAACCCAGAGCCGGGCGCAGGCCCAACCTGTCATTAAAAAAGCATCTGACATAAGGAAATCACTGCACAAACCCCAGAAGCCACGAAGCAAATTCCATTCAGGAGCAAGCCAAACACGACGGTCCCATGCAAACGCACGCTGTCCCTTACTTAAAGAACAAGAAACAAACAGAAATTAAACATTTGCTCAAAACTACAACCGCTCTGTAGGCAAAATATTTTAAAGATGGCTTTTCCATAGTCATTTTTTTTTAAGCTCCCTAATTACGGGTGAGAAGGATTGCTAAAAAACCCAACCGGACCATGGTGTTGGGATAGTTTCTTTCTCATAGCATTGAACAACACTCCTGAAACTCAGCATTCACACATGCATACTTAGACTTTGTATTTTCCTCTGGAAACAACTAGTCTTAAGTTACTGAGTTTTAAGTTACTTAAGTTGTCTTCGTTATCCAGAACACGCAGGAGGAGGAGGGGGGTGTCCACGTTGTGTCTGTCTGCCACGTGAATTCCCCTCCCTCCCCCCAAAAGTCAGTTCTTTGTTAAATTCGCCTCTTGTCGATACCCGTTTTGTGTTTTTGTGGTTTAAGACTGTCCGAAGGGATAAGGACCGTGGAAACCCTGAAAGAAAGTTGGAGACATAATCAATTTCAATAGGCAAGAAATAAAACACTGACCATCCCATCCCAGTTACTCCCAAACCAAACGCAACCCTTTACCCACAACACGACCTCTGGTGTCCAGCTTTATGACACACTTGAAGCTGATCTCCCGAGATGTCAGATCCTATCCACTTACCTCTTTCAGTGTCACTGGGCCACAAAGTAACTTGTATTTTCTACACCAGAGCAAAATAATCCCTTATAGATGCTACAATACCTTTGAGGCCAAGAACGGCAGTTTCCCAAGTCTCTTCTAAAGATTACAACAAACAGTGAAGTAAGAGGCTGTAACTGGTGGGAAAGCCCCACAACGGCGCTTTTGCTCTCTCAAGGTAACAAAATACATTTTCCTCAAGTGAAAAATCAACCACGTTGAACCAAAGAAATCAAAATGCTTACTACAGAACCCATTTTTACATCCTAGAGTGAGTCACCTAAACAACAGATTTAGTAACAGGTCTCAGATGAACAGGAACTCCTTCCTGCAATTCCTGTTGTTTGAATCAGCTCTCCAGGGTTTCATCAGGAAGCAAAAGAAAGTGACCAACAGGGAGGCAAGAGATTTCCTGAGTCACAGGGATATAAAGTTTGTCATAATGATGAAGGTACAAACCATGCATATAATCCTCCTGTAAGGTCCAGACACACACTCAGCTCAGAAATGAGATGAGTATCATTGTTTTTCATTGTCAAAGGTAGAAGATCATTATCCAAATGCTTTTTTAAACACAGTGCAGCTTCCTTCCAGCACGCTGATGAGTTAAGACAACCGAGATCCTGATTAGCACAAAGCCATTACTCGTCTTGAAGTGAAGCTCTAACCTCAAGCCTTCACCATTTTGCCTTTAACGTGGCAAATCTCAAAGGAAACAGCAATTCCTGTACATTCTTCTATGACTCTATGATAACCTCACTGCATAAGCCACAGAGCCACGAAGCAATGAGTCTTTAATATGACTTGTATAAAGCATCAGCTTCATTACTTTAAGCCCCAAAAACCCCAAGTTCAAGACCTCTGTTGTGTACCTATGTTATAAAGGAAGGAAATGCTCTAAGAAGCCTGTAATGTTGCTGCAGGTAAGAAAAAGTTAGCTCTTTAGGATACACCAGGTGGCAGAATACAAGACAATGGTGAAATGAAGCATCTATTGGCAGGTCTCAAAATTCAACCCAGAGACAGGAGGGCATCTCACAAACTGCATGGGAAGTGGAGAAGACTGGAAACTTGGAAATCACTGTTTGCTTACAAAAATACCTGGAAAACCAAACACACTTCTACCCTAGGAATAGGCTGGGTTTGTAAAGCAAGCTTTTCAAAAGGCAACTTCTAAGAGATTCCAACACAATAATCCACCTTGGAAAGGAGAAACTCCTGCCAAAATAGAAAGACTGAGATACCCAATCTGGAAAATACATCACCGAAACAGTGGGAAGGGGAGAAGAGAAACATTAAAGTAATGTGAAGAGGTGCACAACACACACACCCCACACCCCCCCCAAAGGGACACAGAAGGAAAACAATGTTGTAAGCAAGATCGTACACAGTCACACTCAGAGGTTAAGCTATTGTACTTAGTGCTCAACAGCAGAAAACCAGGGTTTGTGGCCCATTACCTGTACAGACACCCTCACCAGCATTTGCTTTATGTACGAGTTACCTGCACACCAGGCTTTGTTTGCAGGTACTGACAGGCAGGCGCTGCTCCAGCTGCTCCCTGTACCTCTTGGGCACTTCAGCTTCAGAGCAAGGCACCACCTTGCTCATTTAAGCTGTGCACACCTAAGCCAAGCCATCTGCATTGCCCCGTGACATAAAAGCAGTGACACAGCTCAGCAGTACACAGCACAGTCTTCACCTTAGTCACGGTTCACAAGTCTTGCAGTATGCACACCAGAGACCCTGCCATTAACCTTGTTTTCAAGGAAACCCTCTGGATCTTCAGATACCTTTTTCTGTAGCATCCAATTTAAACCACCACAATTATGCTACCTGTGTTAATTAAAACCAGAATTCAGCTCACCTTCAGAGTCAAATGACCAAGTACATACAGCTCTGCACCACTGGCTACAGTGCACTTAACAGGCTGACATCTCCAGGGTGAGCTTCTCATGAGCAACTCCAGAACAGTCCCACAATCTGTGACCAAGGTCAGCGTTTCCTCATACAATTAGTTTCACCAAGAAGAAAGAGCCCCAAATCTTTGCTCTTGGGACTGCTACTTCACTGCATTTCACTTACCCATCAGATTTATTAGTGTATATGAGAATGTACAAAATCAAGAAACACTTGGTTAAGATCAAGCCTACACTTGGTTTAACAGCAGACCCTGAGCAAGAAACTCTTACTCTCCTTTGGGAAATGAGAATACTCCTTTCTCAGGAAGATACAAGCTGCCTGCAAAGCACTTGTTTCCCATTAAATTTATTGAACATGCAGTGCAATGTTGACACCTGAAAACTTCAGTTACTGCTGTAATGCAAATACCAAACTCCATTATATGACATTTTCAAGAATAATTATCCCTTGTAGGCAGTATTTTACATCACAAACATGCAAAGATAATTCTGCATAAATTGCAGTTTTTCCAAGTTATTTTATCTGAAGAATTATTCACACTATTTTTAGTGAATTCCCTTCTAGTCTCAAAATGAGATCATTGTCTTTATGAAAAGCTCAGCTGCAGCTTTGCAAATTTACTTTCATGGCTTCCAGTATCTTCCACAGAAGTAATTGCTAACTTGCCATGAGAGCACACTGGCTGTTCATACAAGTAAGCATGTGAGAACAGAGGACATTTTCTTTCAAGTAAAGACTCTACATGAAAATTACTGGTATAAATTATCATTTGACTTCTGCATCTAGAAAAGAACGGAGTCGTTTTGGAGAGTTAAGGGCCTTTGTAAATACTGAGCTCTTTAAGTGAAGGCAACTGTGCTAGAAGCAAAATGAAGTTAAATCTTTCATAAAGCAGCACAACACAGGCTTTCAAACAGCTATCTTTATTTCACCTTTGTGACCAAGTCAAGATCAAGAAAAGGTACACTTCCAGAGAGACAGGAGGTTCTGATGCACAGCTGCGAAGCGATACAGGAGGCTCCCAGTGCACACTGACAGTAGCATCAGACAACGCTACAAGTCCCCGTTTCCTCGGCACCTCCTGGGCTTGCTCCTAGTCAAGTGCTTCTCCAAACTACACAGTTCTCTTAGCCAGCTTGTGTGAACTGAACAGACAGGAGAACAGAGTCTTGAGCACTTTTCATTGTGTTTATTCCATGCACGCTGCGCACACATGGCATGGGCCACCAGGAAGGTTAAGAACTTTCTCACAGTGCAGCCACTGATAGGGCTGGTGTAGATGCAGAGCTGATGAAGTACATGAGGGCTCAAGTACATGATTAAGTTACCATGCAACAACTTAGCTCTTGTAACTCAATGGCGTGCTTTTAGTCTGCAGAGATAAAGTAACAGGGAAACTGTCGGCCTGCAATGGAGCAAAGTTAAGCTAAAACCAGATTATCTCACATTTCCACAGCCCAGATGCACAGGGACTGCCGGTGTCCATGGATGAGCTAACATGCAACATCCAAACACATTAGTCTTTCACCAGATAAGCAAACCAGCTCATGCAACATCAGTTTAGCCTACAGATGCTATGCAGCAGCGTGGCTGTCAAGGAGTAGCTACAGTAGGTTTGAGTCCAAGGCTCTCCTACTTTGTTCTAGATTAATTTAACCATGTGGTAACGACCCACTTTGAAGTCCAGATACCAGGATGGAAGGAACTTCTGATCTACATGGATGCAAACACTTCTGGGGCATCTTCTACCCACAAATACAGTTCAGTACCCAAATAGTTCTCAGTGAAAAGAATTCTGCCTAAAGTTTAGAGGTACTAAAAATACATACCAATTGGAGTGCCCTGGTTTGGAGGAAGCATGCATCTAGAAGCAGCAGCCACTTTTAAACTCAGAGGGAGGAAGCCAGTTGAAGGCTCTAAGTATAGAGAGATGGTTTTTCCCCTTACATATAGAAAGCTGTCGAGTATGGATCAGAGTTCAGCTCCACACAGAGTGAAAGGAAATGGGGAGCATAAATACAGCAGGAAAAAAGGGTGCTGAGATTTTAATTTTGTGAACTGCAAATGTGCTTGTACTTCACTGGGCTTTTAATAGTGTGAGTAATGAAGAGATTAACACCAGACAAGCAGCAGAACACTCTTTGCTATGGCAGTGACTATACATGTTGTTCTCTATGGGCAAATCTTTGCAGAATCAGAACTTCTATGTGCAGTTTCCTGCATTACACAGAAAGCAGCGATTCCTCAATTCACATGGGCAACTTTTATATATATATATATATATATATATATATGTAGATATTTAATATACATGTGACGCAGTACAATCCAAATGTCAGTATATGGCTATCCACCTCAGACCTTTGTAGGTATTTAAACCTGTACGTTTCTTTCTTTAGTTAAGAAATTTAACTCTAATTCCCCAGGCACTGTAAGCCTGCATCTTGCACTTTTAATGTAAAAGACTGTCACAAGAGAGCAGCAGTGACCTCAACAGTGTTGCTATGAGACAGGAGTGAGTAAATAGAAGCTATATTCGCCTCATCTCTCTCGAGAATACAGAGAGAAACTGATTGCCAAAAAGGAGAGTAAAATACCCTTTATTTTGGGTATATCTGGACTCTAATACAGCTCATCCCTACCCTGAGATAAGCATCCTATCCTGCACTTAAGCACATCTTTAGTTCTAGGAACATGCAAAAACTCCACTGGGACTATATATGACAACATGCTCAAAGCAGTGCTGGGAACACAGAACCTGATCTACCACCTTACAGCAGTTGACTTAAGCTTAAGTGGAGCGGGCCCAGGGAAGGTGTGCACTACAGCAGGAATAAAGCTCACACTCAGTTTGTTTCGACCAGATCACAGCTTTCATCTTATCTGCTTACAGGGAATTCAATCCTTGATTCATTTTTGTGTGGGTTTTTTTCTCCTAGGTGAGCACACAAGCCATGTGCTCTACACGCTGCTGGCTAACAGCATTTTGAATGCTTCCACGTGTGAAATGTTGATACACTTGCCTAATCCAGCAGCAGATGGCATGTCACTGTCACTAAGATCCTGACTCTGATGGGGAATTTGAGAGGACAAGTTACACCTGCTCAATTGCACCAGAGGGAGAACTGACACAGGCAAAGTCTGGCAACTTCTGGTATGCTTTATAGCTGCAGACGCCAGAAGCTGCAGTTTTAGCTCAAAGATCTCACGCAACTGCATGATTGGGGTGCTCCATGATCTCTCAGCAGGGAGAAGCCTCCACAGTGATCTGAGAAATATTTAAGCACTTATATTACTTCTAAATATGGGACATAGTCCCTTCTGAACACCTTAGCTAGACCTTACCCTTTCCCACTACTGTATCTCACCAAATGGTGTCTCAAACATGACTAGGGACTCACTCCATTCTCTGGGTACATGAAAGCAGACAAACAGGAGGTCCTGCTGAAGATCATCAGAATCCAGGAATCCCAACATGCAACTACAGAACCAACCCACAGGACTCTCTGCCTGCTCCAAGAACTTGAAATAAAGCCTTTCACATCAATATTCAGTCACAGGACAACAGCTTCAAAAGTAGTTTCCTTTGACCCTCTCAAGCAGCAGAGAACAGATAAAGTCCTCAAGGAAGAGGGGAAGATGGGTGAAATACTGCTTTTCCTAACAGGTACTGGAACACCATCTGCTCAGGAGGTTTAATACTTCCTACATCACTTCCAGTAAGTCCTTTTCCACTGAACTGGTACCCGCACAGCTGGGATACTGCTTGCACATTACAGGGGTACTGCTTGCACATTACAGGGGTATTGCTTGCACATTATCTCTTCTTTGGAAAAGAAAGAAAAAAGAAGTATGTTCTTTCCCAGCTTGCAGGAGGCAGCAGGTGATGGTGCCAGACCCCAGCCAGGGAGCAACTGAAATGACACCAAGTATCTAGGGTGCCAAACCTACTCAAACATGTTCACTACAGAAGCAGGATTGTATCAAGATGAATATTAAGTCTGTGGCAGAATGCCTCCTGCCCTGGACAGGAAGGGCAAGGCTGGAACCGGACTCTGATCTTCAGACCTACCTTAATAATGGCCTCCAAAGGAAAAGCTAACTTGTTTTATTATGTTATAAACAAAAACAATGGAGCAGAGAAAAAACCCTCAAGTATCAATGAATTTTCACATACCCCACCCCATCTTCAAAAAGGACCATGAGGTTATCTCTTGTCAAGCAAGCAAAACCCAAGATGTGTACTTTTTATCTCAGATAATCCCCCTCAAATCCACCCAAGAATATTCTGTAAATACAAAAAGAAATAAACAAACCTCTCCAAAACCATCTGAAAATAAAAACAAGGGTGGTGGTGTTTGAGGAATGGGCAGAAAGCCCACCTATCACGTATTCTGCATCTGAGGTTAGGTTATAATGGCTCAGATCTCAAGAGTACTGCTCGGGAGCTTTGGGTTACCGGCTAAAGCAGCTTACTTCAGTTTATGACATCCTCTCTGGTAGTGCTTCACTCTCCTTTCTGGCTTTTCCTTTCCACAGTACAGCTGACCTCTGCAATGGCCTCTGCACCTCCAATAACTATCAGTTTCTCGTACCTATGTTCTTAGAAAAGACAAAGCATCTACTCCTCAGCCAGGAGAGTGTGTTGGGAAGCTTTACCTCCTGGTGCCCACAGCACTCTCCTCTCACTAGGAAGGGCAAGGATATATATTACAGGGAGACCTAGAGAAAACTGAAGGCCATGTTACTGCCAAAGCCCCACATCGGGAACTCTACACAGCAACTTACTCAGAATGTACTAGCAGTTCCACATCTCTCCACCCACAAGTGCATATCGACCGCCAAGCTCTGCACTCAGAGAACAGGCAAGGGAAAAAAAGCCACCTCCAGCCTAAAGCTGACCTCCAAAAACGGAACTGAGTTTCCCCACCTAAACTAAACCCAGGATTTCGGCTCTGAAAGGCTTCAGTAAGCCCATTATCTCACCAAAGCTGTACTTAGAAACTGATTTTTGTTTTCCATCAGCTGATACACAGAGCTGTTACCAATCTTTGCTGGGATACGTAGGACAGAGCAGCGTTCCCCACCTGAAGCACTGGAGAGAAAGCGTATGCAGAGAAGATGTATCAGCATGTAGGTGGCCTCTGCAGTCAGAGGATGGCCTGTCCCTTCAGGGAGCACTGTTATCCACCAAGCAACCACTATGAAGACTTTCAGTCCCTGCTAACTCAGGTTGGATTTGAACTGACAGGTAAAGGCTTTATTTTAAATCATTTCCTAAGCCATCCATTTCACTTCCACTGAGCAGAGCCTTGAAGCAGGAGCCAGTACAGCTTTTAGCAATTTGTGTTTGGGGTGCAAAACACAAGAAGGGCGATTGGAATCTGTCACACAGTTCATCCCACGCATGCCATCAGTAAAAAAATGCATAGCCCTGGTGCAAAGTAGGTCACTAAAATATGATCCACTGGTAGAGGACAGGCAGTTCATCCAGTTAGGAACTAAAGTGCTGTAGGTGAACTAACATTAGGGCTTTATTAATTCATTCAGCAACCAAGTGTTATTGTCCTACACAGACTGCTTAAAGTACAGTAAAGCATTTTAAAAGGATTTTAAAAATCAAACTAGTTTGACATACGACAGTACACACCTACACATACTGGCTGCATCAACAGGTGGATTCTGAATTGTAAATAATCCTGCAAGTCATTTTTCACACACAAGCAAATAAAAACAGTCAAAATATCACTCAGACTCATATAGCATCCACCAAGCAAGCTTTTGAGAGAGATTCAAAGGGAAGATAATTTAAAAGTCACCTACAATTATAACAAGACAAGGACACAGACAGGAATAGTCCTTTGATTGACTGTTCCTGACAGGTAGCTTCTGGGCTCAAAATGCTGAGCTCTGCAGTCTCCCCACACCATCTTAAAAGAAGTTACCTGGTTAAGCTCAGGGTTGGGGAGGGTGGTTATCTTTTGTCTTTTCCAAATGATGTAAAACTCAGGAGCACATCTAGAGAGATATTTTGACTTATTTGCACACGCAACTGGAGCAGGCTCCAGCCGCTAATAGTTACAGCACCCAGACAAGATTATATAAACTTTAAGAAGGACTTGAAGCAGAAACAAAAAGGTGGATCTAGTAGAGTCTATCAGAGGCAAAAAAAGAGTTTAATATAACATGAGGACTTGGCAGAGTCAGTCAAATTCAAAACCTTCCTTAGCAGGTCTGGCAGAAGCAGAAGGGAAGGGCTTTGCAGTTTGTAACGAGGAGCTATTACATACATCAGTCTCATCACCTACCCATTCTCCTGTTCTCCCAGGGCACCTACCTTACTGTATGTCACTACCGACAAGTTGTTCGAGTGACTGCTGGGGGAGAGATTTACAGAGTTTTGTGACAGTCCATTCTGATCTTGTTCGATTTGGTCAGGAGGAGGCCCCCATGTGTTTTTGCTGATTGTACCTAGCTCGGAACCCCCAGGGTCTTTTAGGTTGTTTTCATCTGGTTGCCTGTTCTTCTGTGGAGAGGCGAATGGGTTAAAGTTTCCTTCTACCTTGCGATGCGGTTGCGTGTTGAACTCTGTTTCAAAGGATGACAGCTGCTGTGTTACACCCAGAAGTCCTCCAACTTCCACGCTGAGGATCACCCAGATGACATCTGCGAAAAAAGAAAAGACACTCCGGTTGTCACCAGGTGGAGTTAATGAAGGGGAAGGAGGAGGAAAACAGAACATGAATTCCATCCTTTACAGAGGCATTTAAAGTACATTTTAATGTAACATTGGAAGCACTGATTAAACACTAACATAGTGTCCAATCTTTCAAGAAAACCAGGCAAGTTTTACTCTTTTACATGAACCAGCTAAGAACATATAAAAACCAAAGCAACATGACAAGTTGAAGCTCCATGCTTCAGATCACCAATATGATGCGCTGAAAAATGAAAACCTGAAGTGACTTTATCCAAGGCTATGCAGCAAGACTGAAATGATAACCAGGAGATATCGCTGCCAATCTTCTACTCTGATGGTAAAGAAAAGGCAGTGTTGTTTTTGTTTAGCTTTGAAAGGCTGGACTATTAATATAAAGCAACAAATGGGTGACTTAGAAGGTAATTATGACTATTTATGATAATTCACTGTAAAACATCTCCACTCCAGTTCCAAAACACTCACGGTAGGTGGGTAAGATACCAAGGCTTGGTAGATGATTACATGAGTTCACAAACTACTGGTTAGAATAAGAAACATATTTGCAGTTCTTACCTAATGCATTTCAGTCTCTTGTACATAGATAAGATTGTTATTTTACTTATCATTTCATTTACACTTCATGCAAACATTACAGCCTATTTACATTAATACATATCTTGGTCTGTATCCAAATTCAGCTTTATTATCGTGCTCCCCCCACCCCCCTTTTTTAGTACCTCTCCATTAAATGTGCTCTGGTATTGTTTTGCTGCACAGAGGAGAATTAAAAAGAACAGCAGCAATACCTTATCTCATCTCAGCAAGTCCGGTAAGAGCACTTCACGTCACATGTAATTCATAGTCATGGACCTTAAAGCTCGTCCAGTTCCAGCCCCTGCCACGGGCAGGGACCCCTTCCACTAGAGCAGCTTGCTCCAAGCCCCTGTGTCCAACCTGGCCTTGAACACTGCCAGGGATGGGGCAGCCACAGCTTCTCTGGGCACCCTGTGCCAGCGCCTCAGCACCCTCACAGTAAACATTTCTTCTTAATATCAAATCTAAACCTACTCTCAGTTCACAGCTGTTACCCCATGTGTTATCCCTACACGACCTTACGACAAGTCACTCTCCAGTTGTTCCCAGGTTTTCTGCAGCCAAGTGCAGGCTGCTGTTGGCTGAACAACACTGCCCCCGGCGGCCCGGGGAGGAGCCAGCAGGTCCGTTCGCTGTTGGGATTTACCCCCATGGCTTCTCAAGCAGCACTAACCCACTGAAGCTCCACTTTACAGGCCCAGACTCATCAGTTCTCATTAACGACCCAATTACAGAGGTGAGATTTCACCTTTCGGGACCCGGCGGTCCGCGGCCCCGCGGCGCCCCCTGCCGCCCGTCGGCCGTAACAGCGGCAGCAATGCGGCGCCCCCTCCTATAACACCGGCGGCCCCGCGGTGCCCCCCCCGGCTGCCAGCCGCGGTGCTGCCGGGGCCGTGCCGGTAGGAAAACCCGCCGGGCGAGGGGTCCGGGTGCCTGCCAGGCCCTCAGCAGCGCTGGGGCTCACCCCCTGGGGCTCTAAGCAGCGTAAAAGCCATTAATGGGGAGGGACTCTTCATTAGGGACTGCACTGACAGGACAAGGGGTGATGCTCAAACTGAAACGGGGGAAATTCAGGTTAGATGTAAGGAAGTTCTTTACTATGAGGGTGGTGAGGTGCTGTAATGGATTGCCCAAGGAAGTTGTGAACGCTCCATCTCTGGCAGTGTTCAAGGCCAGGCTGGATGGAGTCTTGGGTGACACGGTTTAGTGTGAGGTGTCCCTGCTCATGGCAGGGGGTTTGGAACTGGATGATCTTCTGGTGTCCTCAACATAAAAAGGATGTGGAACTGTTGGAACAAGGCCAGAGGAGGCCACGAGGATGATCAGGGGACTGGAGCACCTCCCGTATGAAGATGGGCTGAGAAAGTTGGGTCTGTTCAGCCTGGAGAAGAGAAGCTGCATGGAGACCTCAGAGCAGCTCCCAGTGTCTGAAGGGGGCCTATAGGGATGCTGGGGAGGAACACTTCATTAGGGACTGCACTGACAGGACAAGGGGTGATGGGTTCAAACTGAAAAGTTTAGGTTGGATCTGAGGAGGAAATTCTTTCCTGTGAGGGTGGTGAGGCACTGGAATGGGTTGCCCAGGGAGGTTGTGAATGCTCCATCCCTGGCAGTGTTCAAGACCAGGTTGGACAAGGCCTTGGGTGATAGGGTTTAGTGTGAGGTGTCCCTGCCCATGGCAGGGGGGTTGGAACTGGATGATCTTAAGGTCCTTTCCAACCCCAACTATTCTATGATTCTATAATCATATTGCAGAGAAGGGCAGCTGTGACTCCATGCTCAGCAGCTTGAGGGATTTGCATTTGTAGGTCGTTGTCTTTTAAAATGTGCAACTTGAGGAGGTTTAGGAAGATCTCAAACTGTCAGGAGCTGGGAAAACCTCAGCTTTAATTTAATAACACACCAGCTGAACAAGCTGCATGGAGGAATTCAGGCTCGCTCTTCAGGGACAAGTTCCATCCACTTTTGACACCAGTCATACATTTACTGACAATTCTGCCAAACCCTGAGCACAGAGTTATTTTTGACTCCAAGTGCCAACATCTCTCACTCAAACCTGTGTAATTTGGGATACTCCCAACTGCCAAAACAGACATAAAGATGTTCTCAGTTTAAACTAGAGCTGGCTCAAAGAGACTGAACGACTCCACATGAATGAGGATGGTGGTGGCCTGGGCTGAGAAACCAGGAAAAATACCAGAAAGTAGTTTTAAACACAGAAAAATGGGTCACAGTAGATGCACCAAATTCCTGTACTGAAACCTGGATCCTGACTTCTCAAATGAGGCTTTCTCCACTTTATATCTGTATGTAGCCTAGTGCTCAGTGCTGGAAAACTGGGAAAGAATCCTGACAAGGACCGACTAGGAAAGAGTCTCCAGAACTGTGTGAGGAAGTCCCTTCTGGTTTTCAGAGCTTGGTGTAATCTGCAATTTGTTCCAGTGGTCAGAAAACAGTCCTGTGCTGACCCAGACAACAAAGCAACTCTCTGGCTGTTTCCTCTATTCTCTTTACTATATTTAGCCTGAGAGCTGGCAGACCTCTGCTTTCACCATTTGGTTATCAGGAGAGTGCCTGCAAGGGGCCAGGAGTGTCCATGTTATCTGCGGTGGGAATGTCACAAAGGAGAGCTGGAAAAGGGATCACTCACCTCCGTAATAGAGTCCCGTGGCAGTGCACATCCGCCACTGTCCCTGATACATTCCTGCTGTGCTGGGGCTGCACATCTGAACACTGACGTCTGCAATCTCCTGGGGCTCCAGGGACCTGACCATCACCATGTTCACGTGGCCAAACTGGTCTCCCCCAACATACTTCAGGCAAACCCCTGGGGGCCATGCCTCTGTCCCTGGGATTAAACAGAAGAAAGAATTACTGACGGGGCACCTGGAAATGCTTTGTGTGTGTTAAAGACTGGATGAAACATGCTTATTACAACAGTTATGCAACTGGTGAACAGTCAGAGGAATACCAAGACACACATCGCCAGCAACGGGTACTGAAGAATACAGTTGTCAGACAAGGCTTAACGGTTCCAGTTAGAGAGCAGCAGGACAATTTATAGTTCTATTTGAATAACCTCTACATCATATTTATACAGAAAAATTCTCAAAGTCCCAGTGTAACAGCTGCAAGAAAAATCAACACAACCACCATGTATGTGTATTGTACCGACGCTAGAGACAAAGGTGGGCTCCCCCCACTTCTTTCTGCCTCCCTACACGTAGCTCCTGAGAGACATCAACGTAGATGTTATTAATACAAAGTGCTGGAAACATTCTTTCAGGGATTAATTCTTTTCTAAGCCCATTCGCAGCCTCAGGAGGAGCCAACAGTTTGAACTATAATTAAAGAACTAGTACTATTCTCTAAATGGCTTTATTTCCTTTCTTGTAACAACCCTTCTCTCAGCCTTGTGCAAAGGTGGAAAGGCCTGTGAACATGTGATTTCTTTGTTGAGATGAATGTTTGGAGTGCAGACAGTGGGACCGACAATGTGACCTGGCAATGTGCAGTGGTACAGGAAGCAGTTCCACACACAGGCACAGCCAAATGTAACAAGTACTGGGGCAGACAAAAAGAAAAGTGCCTGTGAGATTCCCGAAAAATCAGTTCAGCAGAATTTTCTTATGCTGCTTCCCCAGTAATGACATGACTAAGGCAATGACTTGGAGAATACTTTCTGCTCGGTTGAGGTCAATGGAAACAGCTAAGGAAAGCCTGAACCACCAGGGAGCTCTGAACCACTCCGTCTCATTTGAGATGAGAATGGTGGATGCTGATCTGACCTTATGCTACCTCAAAGAGCATCCTTTGCAACAGCTTGCCTGCTAATTTAATCCCTGTGGATACTTCAGCAAAGACATGGCGGGGACTGGTTTTCTGGTCAAGTCCTTACTTGTGCAACTCACAATCTAGCGTGGAAAGAGTGATGAGAACAAGTACAGTAGGATATCAAGAGCAGGGGATGTATCACTACAGTTGGAAACAGCACTGAGATAGCGAGCTCTGCAAAAAGAGAAGGTGACTGACGAGCTGACCCCAGACTATGGTGTGCAGGAGTATGAAGTCTCATCTGGAAAGGCTGGCAGCCCAGCAACACGGCTTAGTTTAAATAATTTATGTGACTTTTATCAGGTTTAATGGCTTTAGGCTTGCAAGGTGCCTAGAACACTTCAACTGATAAGCCCCATAAAATGGAATTATGATTATGTCATTCTATTGCAGTACACTCATCTCTCAAGAGATGATAAATTGTAGTAGATGTCCTGCAGAGCCAGCAGCTGCTGGGAGTAGAGTGGGAAAAGGAAATAAGTCTGTTAAATCCTGCTGCTCTTTCAGCAATGGTTCCACTATACAAACTGGTCCTTTGGCAGACAAACCAAGCACCGTCCTGAAAGGTATCGGAGCAGGGTATTGGTTTTTAGTAACACATCTGAGAAACTGACTGAATTTAGCTTACTGCTTGCACACTTAAAACTGACAATCTCTCATTGCTCTGCTTGTCATACTAGTCATGCACCAAACACTTCGGTGACATATGCCTCAGGTATTTTGTGTTCTAAAACTGAAGTCATTTAATCAAGGGTTCCTGCAGAGCTGTTAAAAACCTTGGCTTTGCTTCAGTTATCTACCTAACAAGCAGATATCATCTGGAAACACTATAGCTCTTTGATACTATACCTTAATTAAACCAAAAACTGGTCTTAAAATGCTACAGTTCACCTTAAACTGCAGTCATAGCACAGTTTGTGAAGTTGCATGTAACTAAAACATGCCTCAACAGCATGGTTTTAACAAGATCTGGCCTCCAGCACCACCGTTAAGAGTACAGATGTACATTTTAAGAAGTCAGGCTTTAACACACACAGAAGCCAAAACAAATGCTGGCCCTGCCAGGAACTCATATGTCAAGATTAACTCCCTTTCCTCCTTTCAGAAGACCCATGGATTTCAGCAGGTCAATCCAGGAACAATGAAACATTGCCTGAACTAGGATGTTAAATTTAGGCTGAATTTGCATGCAGTAAAGAGCACATCAGAGGAAAAAGAGAGAAAGAAGTCTGAACGATGCAAGGTATGGTTGTAGTCATAACACACGCTAATGAAGATACTAAGAGGAGAAAAAAGACCTGTCAAACATTTGTATTTGAGACAACTGTGAGAAACTGTCATTTCCTCAACATTACTGGAGTTAAGCAAGCTACATGTGTCACCTTCCCATTGTGCCATGTCAAACAAATGGAGGCAGAAAAAGTCAACTGAAATCATTAAACCCTTTCTCTAGAATACAGTCTCTATAACTCAGTGTTCTTAAACACACATGGGCCCTCTTCTCACCTCTTGCTTCTTGATGAAACACTCCTAGATTTTTAGTATGGTTTCAGTTATACGTTGATACTCAGCAGAAATCTGTACAGCACTTGAGTACTGCAGTTATTAACAAGCAGAAATACTAACACAGCTGAACTTTACTCATGATGATTCATGATATTATCCCTTGTTGTGCTATCATTCTTCACAAAAGCGCAAGCATGTCAATTAATTTCAGACACACAGCTTAAACATCCAAGCAACATCCTGTCATTGTAACACTTGAGGACAAGCTATTCTGCTTAAGTCCATGGATCCCATCTTTCTTTCTGACCACATCCCAACAGATCAAGCACTGAGAATGCATTTTGCCTCATCCCACTTCCTGGGTCACAGTCACTGTTTGACTTAGGCTGGACTGTGGTCTCTGAGAGCATGGACAAGCAATGTTGCCAAGAAAGATTTCAAAAGGAAAGGGTATCTGCCACATGACCCTTGTGTCGCTACATCTTCTCAGAGGTAGATCATTGCATCAGTGCCTCCACAGAGAACACAGTGCTATAGAGAGCAGAACAACCCAACGACAGAGATGTCAGAGAAACAGCTGAAAATGGGTGGGAGGCCAATCACAAAGTAGAGGCTGAATATGAGTGGGAGGCCAAAAAGGGTGTGGGAGGCCCACCCAATGACTTGCACTTCCATTTGTTTTTATCTAGGAGTTCACAGCGTTTCTGCGTGGTGGCCTGAGGAAGAAGACTGGTGAACTGAGCTGCACATCTCACCACAGAACGGTTGTGCCAGTGTAGGAAGGGACAGCACAGAGACTGGCAGCTACCTTCTCCTGTGACAGGGTGGCTCTGTTCCAAGTTGAGTGCACACAAACCTCCTGCCTTAAACCAGCATCTCTTCCATTAGTTCTGCCAGCCCATCACATACTACATAGGTTTTGCTACAATCTAAAAGCCTTACCTGTGTTTTGTATCCTCCATGTTTTCGTAAACTGGGTATCAGGAGGGATGGACTCTCCTTCACCTATGGTTACATCTTCAACAAAGGACATGGAGGGTACATTGATATTTGGACTCTCAAAATCATAGTAGGCTCCAATGGCGGCTTGTAGATTCCTAGAAAGCAAAAAAGCAGATTACAACCTGAAGTACAGGAGGGTCAGGTTGTCGTAACAGGTTTAGGTATGTCATCCTAAACAGTTAAGCAAAAATATTATCCAATCTGTATTAGCTCTGCTGGTCATGGCTTTTTAAAGCTTTTCTCTCTATCACACATGAATTCTAAAAGATAAGAGAGCTCAAAATATAGCATTTTAATTGCCAGGGACACTATTTTAGACCACTTTTCTACTCTGCTTCTTATTAGCACTGGAAATTCTGGAACTTGCCAACCTTGGAAACCTCTATTCCATTAGCTCTTTATGAAATCTGCAGACAAGTTCAAGAGACACCAAGGAAAGTGCTCTGCAGCAGCACATAAACAACAGGGCGGTTTCTTTCTATCAGCCTTGTTTCCTGTGCTAATTTCAAAAGGACTGGATTTCTTCAATTTATTTTAGCACAAAAAGCCCAAAAGGAGCACAAGATGAGCAAAACACAAAGAATGCTTTTATGATACCTCTCAGGGACAAAGGGCATCAGTAGCTATGGGTAGTAACTCAAGCCTTGCTGCTTTTGAAACATCCTCTCATGTATGAGCCACTAGTACTCCAAGACTATTTGTTAATCATTAAGGTGCCTGCTCAGCTCTGGATAGTCACAACTGAAAGGAACTTATAAACCCTCTGAATCACAGGTTCTTACTTAACAAAGACAAATGACAGTGGAAGTCTGTGATATATTAAGGACACTCATGTGATCATTCATTTGAGAAGAGGAATAGTCCAACAGGAAGAGGATTCAGGAGTCTTAAGTGCCATTCCACGATATACTATTAAGTTATTATGTGTTTGGCAAGTCATGCAATTCCTCATGTGTGTGAGGCTGTGGTCCTCATTTACATGTTGTGACTGGGTGCTGTAAGAATGGAGATGAGCAAAATCTCACCAAATGCAATGGACAGAGACACTGCTTTTTATTCACGATTACCAAAATCTGTGTTGCTTTTTTTTGAGCAGGATAAAAAAAGCCCCAAAACCCCAAACTTTCAAGAACTGGGAAGTGCCACCTAATCCAAACCATGCAGAAGATTAGTCAGAAGCTGCACTAGATAGGTACAGTGCTATATTGAGGGTTTGCATTGTGTGGCAGGGAGTCACATGTATAAATCAAAGCCAGAAAGCCAAGGTGAAAGCAAGAGAAACATTTGCAGTGTGACCCTGAGAAAGAGCAAACAAAGGGCTTTTTGGAGTGCTTGCCAGCTGGAAAGAGACTCAAAACAGTGAGCAAAGAAACTGCCTCCTATTCAATTCAATCTCTACAGTGTTCAGTGAGGGAGGGGAGTAAAATCAGAACTGCATGGGTGAAGTATCACTCCTTCCTTGTCACAGGGGACCGATAGTGTAGCAGCTAATAGCACTGGAGCTTGGGGCAGAGAGGGCAATAGCCCAATTAGGCAGTTCTGCTACAGAGGCACGTGGGAGAGAACCTAAACAACACACGTACCAGTCGGGTGATCCATCAGAGTGACACAAGATAATGATGCTCTATTAACCACAGGAGTTCCCGACATCCTGCTAAAGTCTCCCAGCGCCCAACCAAACCATTAGGAGACACTGGAGGAATATCCTGCACAATGTGGCCACAGCAACTGATCAGCAAATTCAGCAAACTAAGCCTTACGCCGAGATCTTTCACCATTACCACGGAACAGACTCCGATATGACGGGGAGACAGAAGAGCCACCATGTAAGATTTCTATGTTTAGAACAATGAATTTCAGACCAGAAACCATTATTCAGCTTGAGCCATTTTTCTACTTAGGAGCGTCAGGACTATATTTAACCCAGCCAGCTCGGGCAAATGCTGCAGGAAGGGTGCATGTCACATTAGATAGGAAATAGAGACAAATGCTCAGTTCTATGTCACCAACCGCTTGTTGCTTATACACTGCACAAGATTTACATAACTCCCAACAGGGCTGTGCCAAAAGACTCCTATTCGCTCAACCAGCAAACACTACGATCCAGAGTTTAGGTTTCACTGGGGCGTCATCCTCTATTACAGCAAGACAAGGCAAAAGGCATTCCAAGAGCTACCAAAGACAGCAATACAGCTCTTTCTCTTCCTAATCCGCTACTACATAAAGGTATTTTCAGACACACCACAACGTCTCGTGAGCTATGATTCTGAAATCAGTAGTAATGACATTTTATTGACATGAGAGGGAAAAAAAAATTGAAGGTTCCAAGGGGAAGATTTCCACTGTAAGTCTTTGTAAGGCAGCCTGCACTGTTTGCTCGGCTGCAAATACACTTCAAAAGGTAGTGGGCTATTTGTGCACACAGGCCCCGTGCCAACCCTCTTCCCCTCCCTGTGTCATATTTCATTGCTTGCTTCGCCATTGGGAAACAGCTCCAGTCCTCTGCAGCATCTAGTTAAAAACTAACTAAAGAGGAACACATGCTGAAAACCAGATTTGCTACCCTTTTGTGACCAGATATTCACAAACCCACCTTCCTGTTCCCACCACTCTGGATCAACATGAGGTGGGTTTTCTTTGGGGAGAGCCTTTTTTATGTTCGGATGTATCTTGGCCTTCCCACTAAAGAATTAAAAAGAAGCTTCCAGAAACTAAAGAGAAATTGAAAGCAGCAAGTCAGGATGACAAAGCAAATATGACTTAAGTTCATGTTTTTTGACACAGCCAACCCTAAGAGACAGCCACTGAGAGGCTGTACAGCACCACACTGCCACAATTAGCAAAGCCAGCAACAGATCACTGCGAGCTTTGTTTCCTCTCTTTGCAAGAGACAGGGCTCCCACCCCTCCCCTTATCCCAACATCCCCAAGTATCAGTCTGATAGTACTTTGCTTGAGAAAAATGAGTGCCATTTGCAAAGGCAAACTATTTGCAACCTGTTTATTTGCAGGTAAGTAGTACTCCCTGCCACTGCCTTCCTGCTAAAGGCACCACATTAGCAGAGTTTACAAGCAAAGGCAAGCATTCATCAGAGATGCGTCAAGGTCAAACAAACTCAGTACCCTGAAATTTGGCCCCCTTTAAAAAATAAAAATATATATATAAAATAAATATATATCATATATATATGATATCATATATATCATATATGATCATATAAATCATATATATATGATTTATTTCTTAGGCCTTTACCCTGCTGCCCCAGCTGTAATTGCATAGCACCAACTGCAGGCAGCGCAGGGACAGGAACAAAGTGCTAGATCTCTGAGAGGAGGGGATTATAATCGAAAGGCTTCTCCTTACACATCCATGCCCACTTTCTTTTACTCCTCCTCGGTGTGACTTGCACCACACTACCCTTCTGCTCTCTGCCACATGAGATGAATTACTATTGTAAACCAAGCAACTTTGAAACTCGCAATGAGCACGCCAAATCCAACCAATGTAATTTACATGACTGATCTCTCCTAATTACAGGGATGGCGGTACATCTCTTGCTAACACAGCCCTTCAGGTGTCAGCCCTCCTTACCTTTCCTAAATTAAGCCATTTTTCCACTTTCAGAGCCGTCCTGGACTGCAGCACTCTGCAGCTCTGCCACACAGACAGAGCAGGTCTGACAGGATTTAAGCTCAAACTCCTGAGAAATGCCTGCAATCAGAAATCACTGAGCCTACTCAAAACTAACACAGTGCTCAACTCCAGTCCCAAGAGCAAGAGTCTGGAAAGAGAGAGGGGAGGAGGCAGCAAAGAAAGGTTATAGCTCCATTTTATCAACCAGGTCCAGTCTAACTGTGGGTATCCCACTCCTCACTCTCCAAGGGCATCCCATGATGCATCCGTGTCAAGTGCTTTTCCAAAAAGACTACCCCAAAGACAGAGAAAATGTTCTTTCAGTTCCTTTTCAGATCAATTCCTTCGCTCTGCTGCTTTGTTTCAAGCCTCAGGAGCTAAATTCAAAATAGTGAAGTTAAAACCTCTGCTAATAGCTCTGGAGACGTCCCTTAACAACTCTTAAGTGTTTGCAAAGAGCCATTCTTTCCCTTCCCAGCGTTTTTCCAAGCAGCCTTTTCTTATGTTAAGCCAATATATTTAGATAGTAATTACTCGGGATTAACTGGGTCACCACGAAGTATTAAAATATAGAAGAAAATCTTCCAAACCAGTTGACAAAACAGAGCCTCTTTATACAACCCAACTGTTGTGCAAACAAAAAGCAATATACAAGTAATTGGAAATATTTTTTTATCCATGGAATCAGATTCCTTTTTAGAAGGAACCCAAGCACTGAGACTTACTCACCCCGGCCTGATGCAAACCTAGGCAGATGCACAATCCCTAATCCTTCTGTTACCAATAAAACATGTGATTCTTTCAACATACAGAAGTTTAACATCTTGGATGGAAAGCAATACATACATATGAGACAAGGACATCAGAGTCCTGCCAAACAGATACTCTCAAAATAGGTAGAGGGAAAGGGAGCTGGAGGGGCTGTAACCTCCCCACTGGCTGCTCCACTGCCCCTCTGGTGTTCCTTACACAAGGAACCGTGTTTGGGGTTTGTTTTCAATACAGCAGCTCAAAGGTCTGAACTCCAGAAACAAAAACCCCTTATGATGTGCAGATTGTCCAATGTATGTGATGACACAGAGGAATTCCACTCCAAAATAACATTTGCAGTAGAAAGCAACAAAGAAAATTTGAACTAAGCTATAGGAATCTGTGAGTTTTCATTCACTGTCAAATTCTTTGATGAAAGAGCCAAAGATTTTTGTGAGTCAAAATTCCAGTCACATCACAGGTTAAGCATGCAGATTTTGCCCTAAGTCCTGCCCATTCCTACAGCACCTATCACCAGCTAACATTGCCCTCACCTGTCAGAAAAATCAAAGGCTGGACTCATCAGTGCAATACCGAGTTAGGCTTTGATTTAGAGTTTCACACAGGATGTAGCCCTTAGATCACATACAGACGGGAAGTAAAGGACATTTATTAGGTCAAGTAGAAAGCAGTTTGACAAATGGAGTCAGTCACTTTGCTGTGCAGAGCAACTGTAAAGATGTGAATGCCAAGTTACACTTCTCTCTCCCTGTGGAGGTCGGGGGGGGGGAGAAGCCAGGCAGAGCCTCAGCTGCAATGTATGTCCTCAGCACTCACACGTGGTGCAATATTTTACCTGAGAAAAGCACCCCAGGTGTTAAGCCTGCTAGAAAAACGCAATGCAAAGCCTGAGCAGCAATAGAAAAGTACAATCAAATCTCAAGAACATAATATGTTTGGTAGAACACAGTGTACTCTTCCATAACTGAATTCTCAACCTTTACAACCTTTCTCTTGTTCTCCGAATGCAGTATGTAACCACGGTAATACTCATAAGGTGTCTATTGTTAAAACCAGACAAAAATGTACAAAAGAAATAGTGCAGCAGATGGATAATTTCTCACTCCTAAATAATGGAATCTCTCTACATGATAGAGGTGGAAGAGACTAGAAACGCACATGGAGAACATCCAAATGAGACAATCCTAAATCCACTCTTTTTGCTTCTTAGTCTCTAGTATCTAATTTGGATTTTATTCACCTCAGCTATTAGGGAACTGCACTGATAACACTATGGGCTGGGACCCCTCAACCTGCTACCCCATTGCTCCTGAAACAGGGAACGCCTCCTTCAAAGGCTTAGAGAAAGCTGAAAGAGGTGGAAGAGATGTACTCGGTTACACCACAGGGAAGCACTTTTACCTGGAGTGTTCAATTCAAACGTTTTTCAACAGAGGTGACACATGGCAATTAAGTGGAAAGTCTCAAGATGTTTTGAAGGATGGGAATTTTAATCAGTGAACAGCTTTCAACAGACATCATTTTAAAACGCAAAATGTGCGTATCAGTTATCTTCATTCTTGACCTCTCTTACGCTAAACCATGAGGTTAGGAAACTACCTTAGATGATCCAAAAGGGATCGTCTGTATGCAAAACTTACACAGCTAAAGGTTGGGGGGAAAGCTGGTTAATTCAAAGCTTATGTATTTTCTCACATGAAGCCGCAGAAAAACACTTCATTGTCTTAGCTGAAAACAGTCAGTTCCAAACACAAGTGGGATGCTCCAGGAAGACAACAGAAACCTGCTGTGACCAGAAGCAATACTGTGTTCTCTGCAGGGGCTGCACAAGCAAAGAAACGGAGAGGCCACAGAAGACAGACACCATTTTCAGCACACCCCAAAACCACCAAAGGAAATAACTTTCTTTGAGCAGGCTTTTCTACACATGCAGACACACACCCCAGCAGTCGACTGTTATCACGGTGCCTGCACTTGGCTAAACAACAGCAAGCGGTCTCAGGACAGAATCACCAGGACACTGCCATAAGCACAAGTCCCCGCAGCCATCCCCAGCAGCTGAACCCTCCTCAAGCAGGTGGTCAGGAGCTTTAAATGTGGGGTGAAATATGTTGAGAATGTCACAGCAGGAGATGCTCTCTGCTTGCTGCCATTGAACACAGGCAACAGCTCTTCCCATGGAAAGTAACCAAGAGCTGCCAGGACTCGAGATTCTGCAACTGCTAATTCCTCAGTACAAACTATGTCACCAATCTATAATTGTATGCATTAAAATAAAGGGGGATTAAGCTACAGAAACTGTCTGAGAACAAGTTGAAGCATGTAAGGCAGTCTAGCTGGACTAAAATAATACTGTACCCAATTCCTTCTGTTCCAGTTGTCTGCTGACATTCCCATTTCACATGCATCACTTTATTAAGCGTTTTGTAACTTGCAGCGTAGCGCAATTACAGTGTGTTCCATGGTTAAAAGATGATGTATTTCAAGTCTAAATTTCAGTCAAAATAATCAGGTCAAATCACTGGGTTGTTACGGGGGTTTTACTGCATTAGGCAAAAGCTGCCCCAAAATTGTTTTCCAATTGTTTAATTCTATAATTTTGTTATTTTTAGTAGCATCAGGAGACAGCTGTGGACACCAGAGATGCAAGAGTCTACATTAGTTATATATATTATATACCTTTACTTACAGGTGATATGATTATATAATGTAGTAAGAGACATCCTCTATGCTTTCAGTTAACCACAACAGATTTAAGTTTTTCTGCTCCCCACCATAGGCTGCAGATACCCCACATACACAGTGCTTTGCAGCAGCCATAGCTCAGGCACTGCTGGCCTGTTCTGACATTCTGGAAACAGCACCTCAAGAACTACTAAACCTGTTTCTACAGTGTCTTTTCTACCTGTAAGGACATCAGTTCATCAATTGTTTTGGAGTAAGAATGTCATTAAGTTTAAATCCTCTTCTTCCCTCTTTCCTTCTACCTAATTCAAAACCCAAATGATGTTTTAAACCAAGTGCTTTCCCCTTCTCACCAGATTCAATTCAATTGGTCACCACCTAGAAATATTAATCTCATCACATTAAGATCTACATTTCTTAAAAAAATAAAAATAAAAACCTTCCTGTATACGGAGACACATAAAGCCATAGAGAACATAAAAGACCCTCTTGTTTTGTCACCTAATTCAGGAAGAAGAGAAGCAAAATAACATGACATCCCAGCCACTGTTGTCACTTCCCTAACAGATGCCTAGATGAGCACTGAGCTGAGCCAAAGAAGTTTCCAGGAAAGGAGGAGGACTGACTTGGAAGATCAGGTCTCAGGTTTCCTGTGTCCTCCATGACACAAGGATTCCCCCCACTACTCTTTCAAAAGGAAAGGTGTGTTAAAACTAAGCTGGAGACTACACCGAAGAGTGGGAAAGTTCTCCTCCGAAGTCACAGAGTCCCACAGACTGAGACAAAGAGTAAACAAGAGGTGGCCAGCAGAAACTGCTGGACCTCTAAGGTAAAGACACACACCACAGCTCCTTGCTCACAATGACATAATCACTTCTGTGGCAGATCCAACAATGCCAATATCAACATGAAAGAAGAGTTTACATTCCACAGTCCAGGGAATCAATTTCATCTACAGAATTATATAAAAGCTGTTTTCATCTAAGATACCAACTAAATTATTTGGGGGTTGCTAGTGTGTAAGTAAGGGTTGCAATAAAAACACAGCCATTTTAATGGCAGCAGTTTGTTATCGTGAACCCCCTCTACCAGAACAACCACACTGTAGAGCCACACTGTCATCAGTCAAACCGGCTTTTGATACAACCCCACAATCAAAGGTTTCATGGTGCAGATAAGGCCCCACATGCCACTTCAATATTCATACCCTGACAGGTTATGCTTAAACCTTTACAGCTGCACAGTCTCACTTGGCATGTCCTTGTATTTGCCTTTTATCTGTGCTTTACCCATACATCTTTGAAACATAACGCACAACTACTTGAAGACTGGAACGATACCATTCCATCGGATGCCTGGTATATTGTATCAGCAAACCCTTTCAATATAGAAAGGGCAGGAAGGCTAAGGGTGTTGAAGTGAAGAATCATCAAATCACATGCGAGGTCCAATCAGGTTGGAAGGGACCTCAAGGACCATTCCGGTCCAACCTTAATTGACAAAGAACTGCCTTCCCTCACACAGGTCCTATGTTTTGCCCATCATGTGGTAATCTGAATGTGTCTGAACTGAGACAGAGCATTTCAAACCCAAGTTCTTCCTGACACACACTTGGAGAGCTTCTTTTCAAAAGCAGTCCATAAAAGCTGTTAATGGAGGACATCTGCATGCTTTTTTCCCTTTTAAATGGCAGCTCTGCAAACACCTGCAAGGTTACAAATCAAGACCAGGAACCAGTCTTACCCACTGTGGGAAATGCATCATAGGCACGTGAATTCATTATTCCAAGACTGTTGTGTTAAATTCTGTCTTACTCAAACATACTGCAAGTAATTATATAGCACCCATACTCCAGCACTGGTATCAAGTGTAACTAGACACGCTTTCACTCACAGACCAAAGTTTTGTTTAAAGTAGCATCCTATAATCCTTGCCAGAAGGCAAAACAAACACTTAAAGAAATTAAAATAACCTATAAGCTAAAACATGTCTTTAGACTCTCAGGCAATCCACTTCTGGGCAATATAGGGGCTTCATATGATATAAAGAATTTAAACCCCCCCCCCCCCCCGGATGAAACCAGACATTTATAAGGTAACTGAGTTTTGTTAATAATATTGTGCCTGTTCTCCAAGACGAATAAAGCACGTGCACAATGTTGGATACATTTTCCTTGCTACACTCCAAAATTGCAGATTCCTAATGTAAAAATCACTATCACCACTAGTTACTCCCTATCTCACCTTAGCTCCCCTCATTCCTACATACACAAATGCCCTACACCTTACACAATATAGAAAGAGGTCTTAACAGCAGATCTCTGTCGTATTTTCAGAGATAAACTTGTGAATATTCAGAGTTAAACCATGATACATCTGCAGTTTCTAAATGCATGAAAAAACTGAGGACCTCCAGAAGAGCTCTGACCTTACAAATAATGACCTCTCACCAGAGAGCTAGATCAAAAAATACAACAATAAAACATGCCCCCCTCTTCCCCCCCCCGAAACCTTCATTATGTGACACATTTCTATTAAATATCACACCTAGCAGGCTACTAAAACCTCAGCTTTCTAAACAAAAGAGAATGTAAAGAAACATTTACACATAAATTACTGAAATAGATCTACAAACTAGGAATCCCTTCACAGCCAACTGTGCTGAAACCTGGATTTTAAATCCAGCACCACTAGCTACTTCAAATCAAATTAATTCAGTTTCTCACAGAACAATCTTCAAGCCTCATGCTGCAGCCTCTCTCCCTCTAAGCTACTGTACTCCCCAACTGAAAATAAAGAAAATAACCCCTCTTCCTTGTCAGAATACAATTTCCAGACTGGTTTTAGAGGAATCTGATGACTTTCAAAAACTAAGCTTTAACTGAGTGTCAACAAAAATAAAATGCACATTCTGTGCAGAGTTTCTTCTGCTCTTCCATTTATACTAGTCCATTCCAGCTCAAAACCAGTCAGGGCTGGGCCTGAGCTCCAGAAACTGTTTTGCAAGTGTATTCAGGAAGCCCATTCTGCCCTTGCACCATCTATCCAGAGACCTACAACCAGTGTTGTGTTAGGAAGCCTGTGAGGAAGTATTTTGGCACAGGCTCATTCAGCACTGTCTGTCCTGAACAATTTGTATTTTTAAAACATTCCCACAAAGGGCTTTCAATAGGAGTTTCTTAGGTAGGTAACCTGAGTCCAGACTGAAGTTTAGACGAGTTCCTGGCCATGCTATCACGTAACACTGAGAAGCTGTGCTCAACAGGTGGAACTTTATCACAAAACACTCTTAAGAGCCCCCTCCCTCAAACCTGCCGGGCTGGATGTGCTGCAGGGTGCAGGCTCCTGCATGGCCTAACATCTGGAAGGAGGAAAGGAACAGGCAGAGTTAATTAAACATACCATTTAATGGAGGTGGAATTTTATCCCAGCAAAATGTCCTCCCAACTACGCTGCTTGGGTTTGCCTCCCAAGGAACAAATGTCTTGGTGCCAAAGCATCTTTTGGAGAAGTTCGCTTTTGGTTTTAGGCCAAAACATGAAAGCTCAACCTCACTTTCTAAAGCCTCACAACTTCTAATGAAAGATAAGTAAATAAACAGTAAACAGGGACAATGGGGGCAGCCATTAAAGCATGAACAGCCCTTGCTCTCAGAAAGGGCAAAGAAAGCTAAGAAGTTATAACAGCCTACAAAGGGAACTCACAGTGCCATTAAAAAGAAGCAGAACTCTAGGAAACGTGTTTAATAAACAACAGGGGAAAAAGACAAGTCCAAGTGTTTAACTTGCATTCCTTGAAGGTCTAGGAACAGTCTCAAACTGAGGTCCTACCTGAAGCATTTTTGCAATATTGTTAATAAAACCAGTTGGCAGTTCTTTAGTAGGGTCCTAAATCTGGCAGAACTTGGAAAGCACATTGAGCAATTGCAGGTGAACGAGGGCAATGGGCAGACTTTTCAAGGCTACTGACAAATATCTCTATTGCTCCACAATCAACCTCTATGTTTCCCCCCACCAAATTGGCTGAAGGAGCTATTTTAATTCTGCTATTCCAGCAGGAATATTAAAGTGCAAATTCACTTTAAATAAACACAATTACTAACGATACTATTGGAAATGTTATTGCAAAACACATTACAGCTCAGATTATCTACTACATCGTATGTAAAAGGCATGCAACAGGGAAGTAACTTCAGGTCTGGAGACTACACAATTCCTGCCAAAGAGCAGCTTGCCACACTCGTGAAAACCCTCTAGTGAGAATTACTTATGGCTCTATTAACCAGTACCTGGACATGGCTAAAAAGAACCCTATCTGCCAAGTAAGTGCACTTCTCTTGCCCCTGCTGTGAGCTCCCTCACCATTTCCTGCAGATGAACATTAATCCTGATGCGGAAAGAGGGTGAAGGGATCATTGCTGCAGGAAAGTGCCATGCCTTTAACAAAAGGAAAACTGACTTCACAGAATCGCAGAATGGTTTGTGTTGGAAGGGACCTTAAAGCTCATCCAGCTCCAACCCCTGCCATGGGCAGGGACCCCTTCCACTAGAGCAGCTTGCTCCAAGCCCCTGTGTCCAACCTGGCCTTGAGCACTGCCAGGGATGGGGCAGCCACAGCTTCTCTGGGCACCCTGTGCCAGCGCCTCAGCACCCTCACAGGGAAGAGCTTCTGCCTAAGAGCTCATCTCAGTCTCCCCTCTGGCAGGTTAAAGCCATTCCCCTTGGCCTGTCCCTTGTGTAAAGTCCCTCTCCAACAACCTGACCATCTCATTGAGACAATTTTTTGGCAGGACAGAACAGTGATAGAAGATTCCAGCTCTAATTCTAGGCCACAAAACCCAAGCCTAATAGGCCACTAGTTAACATCACCTGGGGCACCGCAGATCACACAGGATCCCCCAACACGGTAAAGGTGTCTCTAGAAAAGGAAAACGTGTCTTCATTGCACCTTTTTATAATGGCCCAGAGCAGGGTTAGTACATTCAGGCAAACAAGAAGAGGTGGGAGGGGGAGAACTGAACAGAAACACAGCAGCAGAGCTGTACAAACCCCGGCACAACCAACCATACCACAGGTCAGGAAAGCAATGCCCTGGCAAGAACGTATGAGCAAACGGAGCAGCACCTGTCAGCATACCCAGCCCTGCTCCCTGCTGCTCAAAGGTTAAACTCTCACAGGCTTTAAGCCCCTCTAAGGGTAATCAGGCTCAAGCCGACACTAATTTTCATCTACTCTTGTCTACATCACACCAATTTAACAGACATCCTTTTCACACACCCCCATTCATCTAGAAGGCTTATCAACTTACACTAAAATACCTGAAAACGTGTGATTTTAGAACCAAACTACCCAGTGAAGTTGGGAAATTAAAGCCAGTTTGATCACTTCAGGTTTTCCTCAACTGTAACTAAAAAGCCATTGGTTGTAAGACTGTATGCTGCCACTTCGAAATGAAAGTGAATACTCCTGAAAGAGCTTCTTCAGCACAAACCAGGAATAATACAGTTATACACATTATCTTCACAAGTAATTTTCAGGTTCAGCTCTGCTTTTTGCTGTCCCCCAGAACATTACAAAAGAAAACCCAGTATTACACTGCAGTGCTGGGAATTTGAGTCATCTCATCCACACATGCATGAAGCATCCTCTACTGTGAGCTACTTCTCCAAAGCAAACTCCTGAACTCCTCGAAGGAGACCTTCTTTTGCACTGTATCACAACGCACACAGTATTATCTACTAGTCCCTTACCTCCTCTGCAGATGCAGATTACCAATATAGTTCAATAGAGAGCTGCAGAAGGAGGAAAAGATGAAAGGAAAAATGT